GTAGCGAAAACTGCCTGTCCAGTCCAGTCTTGGGACTGGCACTGACATGTTGGAACATGTTGCGAGTGCAAGGCTCTGTGTTTGGGGTTTCAAGGTGTTCTTCTTGAACTACCAGTAGTGGTTGCCGTTCCCGCTCGAGACAGATCCTTGTTACTTGAGCAGCTCCAGGTTCCATTTGTGCTCGCACCTCCACGCTCATGATCAAATTTTCGTGTCGTTGCGGTACAGGAGCAATCATGGAAGCAGTCCTCTGGCAAACAGAGCACTTTCGAGTGTTGCGTTTTCAGCGTTTTCTGGTTCTTTGAATCAATCGAAGGGGTCTTTCCGCTCGCATTGCTGTTTGCTCCTCCCCCCTCTACCCCCTCACCCTCCCCTCCTCCCCGTCTCCACCTCCCCATCTCCACCTCCCCATCCCCCTCCCCCTTCCCCTCGCATGCAGTGCTGTGTGCTGCACCGGCCTTTCCGCTGCTTCAGCGCTGGCTATTGAAGTCAAGCTTGTTTCTAACCTGATTTTTGGATTTCAATCAACCGGCTGAGAAGTTCTGGAGTGCACAACTGTTCGTGCTGTGATAAGGCCACGGACCCTGAGCGAGTATCTGAACGAGTGAAGATGCAAACACGTTAGTTAGACGTTGAACCACCATATCTTCCTAAACCCGTGAGATGCAATCTAGTTGAAGGATCATTACAGCCTACCGAGTCCGGACCCTCAGCCGGACAGGCGAGGCCTACATAGATGCTGCCATCTGGCATCTCCTCCCTTAGGTTTCGAGTGAGGGCAGCGATGGCGAGGCTTCCTTCATGTTTTGGAGTTTGCATGTAACATTCCGGATCACAGAAACATGCATGGAAGAAGGCCAAAAGCACGTCCCTTGACAAAGCTTGGGGTCTGCCTGTCGTGGTTCAGGATCCAAGGCTCAGGAGTTCCGGAGGAATGTATGCGTAAGCCCTGAGCCTCCCGTGTGGATGCACGAAAAACATCGCCAGCATGCCGCCGGACAGGCATCGAACTGAGGTGTGGGCCATCCTTGTCCAAAGCGGGGCCTCGACTGGAAAGCCAAGGCTGGTACATGGGAAAGCTATTTTGGGGCTGTGCCCCACTTTCAGCTTTCAACACTCAAAATCCAAAATGCGATGCAGACACGCCGGACACCAAACCGACGACACACACGAAACCTTCACCTAGAACTACCAGTCGAAACCTCCCTCCTCGACTCTTGCTGTCTCGCTCTCTGTCTCTAGAACGGAACCCCGGCCACGAACCAGGTGACATTCCTTTAACACCTGAATTTCGCAGCTCAGTTCGTGGTGCCAGGTCGCGACCGAGTGCTGTCACTTCTGGCCTGGTGATGGTAGCCGAGTTTTCTTTTGCTTGTACCAGCTCGGAGCTCAGGGACGTCAGGTTGGTATTGCGCATTCACAGTTTCGGCATTACGCTAGCTTCGCAGTAAAGCTTACGGTAATCATATGCGCGGAAACCTGTTGCCCTATAGAGGGTGTTGGGATACTTATGCTGCTATGTGTTGCTGAGGCACTTGTCATTGCGGAACGGGTTCTGGGATATACAAGTTGGATCTTGCGGGGGGCCTTTTCTGCAGTAGGACTTTCTTTTACCGGTGTTGCAGGTAGCGCCCTTAAACGAGCACCCTAACTCCGAAAGGTCACCTAAGTTGATGCTCGTAGGGTCGTAGGGTGAAAGGAAGGCTTGGGCTGAGTCCACGAAAACATGAAACAAATGTATGTGCAGTCTCCATCAAATGCCTCTTCCCACAATTCAGGCGAGACAAAACGATGCCGTAGTTTCGCAGAGCCGATCACAAGTCCTGAATCCCAATGTCCGGCGCCGTCCTTTGTGATTCAATCTGCTGCTCTGGAGAGCCAGTTTTAAGTCCAGAGGAAAACGCTCTTTGGAGGGCCCAACACCCCGATTACACCACAGAGCTTCGAAGCTCGAAGAGATCCATCACCCAAAATCAAGATCGTCTAAGCCCCAAGCCATGAGCCCTAAATCGTAAAGCTGCTGACCTTCGCCACCTCTGCCTCGACCATCTTGGAAGGCCTCTTGAGAAAGGTACTGTAGTGGATTTGTGCCACAGGGCTCTGAACCATACATCTTCACTGCCTCATTGCTGCTGTCAGGGTTTCGGGTTTGCGATCGAGGCCTGCGCAGTCCAATATGCAGATTCAAGGCTTCGTAGGCGGCTGTCGTTTGTCTAGCAGCTTTCTATTCTGAAGCTGCCTTTCAAGTCTAGCTTGTGTTCCCGTGACCTCCAGGAGGATGACAACGAATTGCGAACGGGGTCTGGATTTGGGGTCTTTAAAAAATGCAGCCCAGCTCCTGACCTACATAGTTGGGATGTCATTCCGGGATTTACAGGACCTGGACAAAATTTGCATGTAATCTATGTGCGCGCAAACTAGAACTGCGCTTTGTGCTGGAAACACAGTCCGGATCTTCGAAGCCACGTGTCCGATTTGATTCCTTGCAGCAAAGAAGCGGGCAGCGGATCCCATTGTGGGGAGCCAGCTTCGGTTTCTGTGCTTGAGCCACGGCAGAAAAGTATAGGTTTGCAAGGGGCTCAGGAAATGCCTGAAATTGACATGCTTGCCGTGAAACAGTGAATCTAGAATCTAGAGAAGCATGTGCATGCCGCGATTCAGACCCAGTCATGCCCTGACCACTGGAATCCATTACAGACACCATTCAAGTTGAACGGCTGCCCATTTGAAGTCTTTGCTAAACCCAGCAGGAATGCAACTCATGTAGAGTCCAAAGACAGGGCCCTTACTGGGGCTGCTCGACACCAAGTCTCAAGCCCTGTTAATTAGGAGCAGACATCTGGAAGAGATACTGCCCCCGAAAGATCCCTGCCAGAACCGTAAACCCAAAACATTCAATCAAGCAGCTTTCTTCAGAAGCCCAAAAGCCCTGAAGCTCTGTTTTCGCTACTCCAAGGCCCCTCCAATCTTTTGCGGCCGGCTACGCATGATATGTGCTGCAGTTTTTCGCCGTTGCCTCGGTATGAGGATTTCCAGCTTCAACCCACACGAAGTGGACTTTAGGTTTGGCACCTTTTCTCGAAGCATCCCTTCCGTTGTGAATTTTGTTGTCCAGCCGCTCATGTGGCTAGTGAAGGGGTGCAGCCAGCAGAGTTTGGTTCGGAGCATTGAGAATTGAATTGTATCTGAGAGCTATCTACAAGTTTGTCCTCTGCCTCCTTGTCGAATCGATTGCCGCAGTGGTGGTGAATGTGGCGACAAGAGTTGCTCGTAGGGCTTTGCCTCTACTTGCTTGCTGTCTGCAAAGTGGCTTAGCCATGAGGTTTGAGAGGTGCAGCCTTGACATGAAGCTTCAAGAGCTTCCATTTTCGTTTGATTTTTGTTGCTGTGTATTGACAAAACTCAGAAACCAGATCATACAGCCACAAAGGGCTTAGGGCGCAAACCTACTCTCATCCGCATAAGCTCAACAGTCCACCAACACTCAACTCAGGCCCCGTCAGAAGTCAGAAGGACCACTGCCAAACCGTGGCCACCCAACAGCTCATCAGTCCCGGCACTGACAACGCGAAACAAGGGAAGCCGGAGGGCCTAGAAGACCGGGGATTCAATGACATGATCCCGATCCGAAAACGAGCTTCTGAACCAGGCACCCTAGAATTTCCGAACCAGAAACCTGGAGTAGAACACTGAACTGAAGAGCTGTCTGAAGACCAAAGGCTCGACAAAGATCCGAGACCGACGCGCGAAGACCGAGCAGACACTCATGGTTGCCAACGCGGCAATCAGGGCCAGAATCTCCCGGGGGATTTACTTACAGCCCTGCCTAGGGAAGCCGGATGTAACAGACGGGTGTCGTTCTGAGGAGCATGTTGGTGAACGCTCTACAGCTTTCGTGCATAAGAGTTGTTCGGAAGTGGTCGAATAACAATCGGACCAGTGCGCACAGAACACCTGCAGCCTCAACCCCGTCGTTGTCCTGAAACCTCTCCACCTCACCAGCAGCATCATCCTCTGGATCGACCGTCATCATCACCATCATCAATGTCATTGACGACATCACAAGCAACAATATGTCAACGTCATCATCTTGTTCTTTGTCACCATCCCTTTCATTATCATCATCAACATCTTCACAACCCAAGACAAAAGCAATCAACCTCCTTATCCTCCGCATCATCAAATCAAGCACGACATGGATTTATACTAATAACACATCGAGAAACTCAACTGGACCGTGCAGACTGTCAAACTAGCCTTTGCCCGTGTCATCCCTGACCTGTCGAAGATTCGGCCGTGCACCCCACAGGCTAAAACCCAGTGCCGAAAACCTTCGTCCGAGCGTTGCCTTCTCTCCACGGATTTTCTGGCAGCATCAACTTTCCTGTCTGAGCCCAAGGTCTAAAATGGAGGCCTGGTTAAAGTAAAGTGAGAGTCTTGAGAGCCCGCGTTTATGTGGCGAAGCCTTCAAAAGCTAACTTATTGTCTTTCGCAGCAAAGCAACATAGCCCCATCAAGCCACTCTACCCTGCTCTCTGCCCTGTGCAGACGTTACCTTTACCAACCACATCATGCTTCAAAACAGAATCAAGCTCTCGCAACACGCTACCATGATTACGCATGTTTTCAACGGCAGACGCTTCTAACATGAAGGTTTAAGCCAGCAAAACCACTGTTGCGCCCGTCACCGATGAGTGGAAAACAGAAGTCTCATAACCTTTTATATATGATCCCGGCTGGGCCATCACTGAAGTTTCACAGGTTACAGCTAGATGCACTACGGTAACCGGTAAGTCAACCCTGCTCCTTTTGCCGTGGGGACTTTGAGCCATTGTAAGGTTGCGTAAGAATATTGCTAAGGGCAGCAGAAGTACATGTGGAGGCAGGGTAGAATCTACAACCCCCCTCGCCGTGCTGCTCCAGCTAAGGCGTCTACCATACACTGGTTCCAGGTTGCCCTAGGCTAAAAGGTGTGAAGGTTTGTGGGCCAAAGCGAGCATTTATAAAACAAAACGTCCCTGCATGCCCAGAGCAAAGGCGAGGAACAAAAAGACAATCCAGCAATCAATGCCGACGGGAGCGGTTCCAAGCGTCCCATTCGGCTTGCGAATACTGGTTGCCCCGAGAACGGTTATACTCGTCCAATTGGGCCTGAGTATACCCACGATAGCGAGGCAGCGCGACCACGGCCACGCCCTTCAGGGCTGCCTGGTGTTTTGCTGCGACCTGACGGTTTTGATCCGCGGATTGACGCTCGGCACCTGGGATGCTGTCAGTGATGATCTGGCCGAGCGGTCGTTCACCGTTTCTGAGCTGAGATAGACCTCTCCGTCGAAGGTGAGGATTCTTTTGGCGTTCTTGTTGACCGCCGCGATCTCGCAGAAGAGCCGTGGGCTGAGGAATGCACCCATGTATGTGACTCCCATTGGGAAGTCTGTGGTGTCATCCAGAGGGCGAAGAGTACGCATGGGCTCCACATCGCAGTTGGCATAGAAGACCAATTTGGCCGGACCGATTCCAGCGGAGTCTTCGGATTGATAACACGAGCCTGCCCGAAGGTGGCGCTGCTCCTCCGACCTCCCAGGGTCCGAAAGGATTGCATACGACATGTAATCGAATTTCTGCGTGTCCTCCATGTTGCGGCCTTCCTGCACCATGCGACCTCTGAACTGGTCGTCAGAGGTAAAGCGATCAGCAACCGATTCGTACTTCATCTTCACAGCCCGCTGGCGGCGATCGCTTGCATCGGATCGTGGCCGCCTCTGCGCTCATCTGTTCTCGCTTGCGGGAGAGATGACCCATCTGTCGGAAGTCAGATGTGAGTAGGGCCTCGATTGGCTTCTGGGACCCACTCGCGGTGGGGAGCCTGATCATGCCGAATTCTTTCGGCAGTACAGTGGTTACATTGCGCCGCATCAAGTTGATCTTCCGGAGTTATCTGCTGATATGCTGCGTCAGGACATTCTGTCTGTAAAGGTCTCCAGCCCCGGCCTGGATGGGTGGTCATATCCTGATCTCAAGATCTTAGCGCAGTATGCACCTTGGGTATATGATGAGCTCTGTTCCTTGTTGCGCACTGTTGAACGCACTGGCAAATGGCCTACTGCTTTGATTTCGGGTTTTACCACACTTATTCCAAAGAGTGCTGACCCTGTTTGTTCGCCAACGGACCTACGTCCGATAACAGTGCTTAGCAGCATTTATCGTGCTTGGGCTCGTATTAGGGCCAGACAGTTGGGCAAGCATCGGCAAGATGGTTGGGCTCATGATGGCATGTTTGGTGGTCGGCAAGGACGCAGTTGCGAACCTCTCCTTTTTCAGGTCGCCTTGGATTTGGAAGGAGCTTCTGCTGATGCTCTTGTGGGCGGTCTTTCCTTTGATCTTGCTAAAGCATTTGACAGGATTCCGAGAGAACTGCTTGGCCACATATTGCGTAAAATGGCTCTTCCTTGTTGCGTTTTACAGCCGTACCTTGCGATGTTGCGGACTGCCAGTCGTCGGTACAAGTTGGGAGTGTGCCTGGCTCAGGCTCAACCCGTTTACGGAGGGATACTCCAAGGTTGTCCTCTTTGCATGATTGCTTTAAATGCAATCATCAATATATGGTTGACGGCGTTGACTGCAGAGGTTCCTGGTTGCAAGCCTCGTGCCTATGCTGACGATGTTTCCGTTACTACCTTTTCATCTCGGAGTGGCGAGCTTATTGGGCGGACCAATTCGGTTTCTCAGGTGTCTTCCACGTTTGTGGCTGCCATTGGTGGATTGATTAATCTTCCGAAGAGTTTTTCGTTTGGGAATCAGTGTCTGGATGGCAATGTTCCGAATTTGGCACACAGTACATCTTTCAGACTCATTGGGGGGTCTATCGCTATTCGCGATGGTGGCACGCATGCTGCTACTGCACTTGAACTCAAGCGTCAATCGGAGTGGGCGGCTACTGTCAGGCGGGCACGACACTTGCCTGTTTCTTGGTCGGACCGCTGTGGTGCTCTTCTTCGTACTCGCACACAATTCACGTATGGCACGGGCACTCACTGCCTTCCTGAGACCACGACACGCCTGAAGAGTAGGGAAACTCTTCGGTCTGACGTCATGCGATGTTTATTGCGGCGTCATCGTTACGTGGCTAGCCCGGGCATGTATTTTTCGCTGGTGGCTTCCCCTTCTCTGAATCCTTACTTTTCGAGGGTGATGGATGGGCTTTTGGTTGCCTGGATGCCATGAAGTTCGCTGGCAACCGCGCGCTAGTCAAAGATTTGTTTTACAATGGTGACACCTTCAATGATGGTCCTGTTGCACGGCTTCGTCAAGTGGATTCCTTGTCCGGTTTTCGTGGCACGGTGGCGTCCATGTTGGAGATATCGGATGATGACTTCGGTACTTGGTTGCACGACACTCGCGAGGTTTGGCGGCGCGACCAGTGGCGCAAAGTTGCTCGTGACCGTGCGGTCTTTCAAAGGATCGAAAAGGGTATTCTGAAAGATGTCACTTTATGTTACCTTCGTCAGTTGGAGCAGCAAGGATGGTCCGGCCCTTTTGACAGTGGCACGTTTGCTCATGAGCAAGCTCGTGTGAAGGCGGCAGTACTTCGTTTGTTGCTTACAGGCGGCCTTTTTACCAGGGACCTGGTGTCACAGCACAAAACCAAGAAAGAAACTGTCTGTGATTGTTCTGTTGGCGGCCCTGCTGATGTTTTTCATGCCTCATGGAAATGCGCTCATTACGCTTCTCTTCGCGCTCCCATCAGAAGTTTGTCTCGACGTATACGTCGCAGCAAGTCCTGCTTCCGTTTTGCCACTATTGTTTAGTGGCGGCATGGGCCTCTTTAATAATATAGGGTTCCTGTTTTGGAGGGATATGGGTGCCGGAACTACTTATACTTTCAGCGGAACTATTTATAGATGTACCGGAACTATTTATAAATCTGCCCATTGCTCTGGCTGGCCTTCATGTGACCTCCGATAGCTCTCGAAAGCTCGGCTCGGATGTTTTCCTTTCTGAAGCTTGACTGTGAGTTCGGCATATCCACAAGCAAAGCGCAGACAAAGACAATGCCACGCGATGCGGATTTGATATGGCATGAGCAAACATAGCCCCATCCAGCAATCGTTGGCGGGCCAATGGCTTCTAGCTCCGCGAACCCCGAGGACACGTGTCTCGGTAGATTTTACTGTACTCAACACACCGTATCGGTCACCCGTGTGTTGCAGCATGTGGTGCCTGTACTGCGGTGATGTGCGGTGAGTGGGGCCCAGTGGCCGCGCGCAAGAAATTTAGATTATCATTTATCATTTATTATATTATAATTTATATCTATTGTTATTTATTCTGTGTACGGCCGAGGATGGAACCGATGATCAAATACTTCCAGTGGGCACGGGAGTATGGCAAAGCCCTCGGAGTCAAAAAGCTCGGGTCTTCGGAAAAGCCGATCACGTTGCTTAGATCAAATCAGATCTGATTTGGCATACGAAACCCACAGCCAGAAGCAGATCATTCAGTCCTGGAGTCCTGTCCGTCGTCCAACTCAGGTTGGTGGAAGGTTGCTCCGGCGCTGCTACGGCCACCTACATCATGAATCTTGCTTGCAGTGTGTTTCCATGTGGTCAGCTTGTATTTGCACGGGCGGGGCGAAATTATTATCACTAATTGCCAAATTCGTTGAGGCGGCAACTTGGAGATGAGTTCAACATGGAGTGGAAAACATCGGCGTGCCTCGAGAAAGATCCGATGAAGAAGCAATTGGTCCCTGCGCAATTTCGCATCGCACAGATGCTCATCCGCAAATCAGAAGCTTGCCTCTGCATCTGTGTGTGCAGAGTCAATTTGCTGAATTTGTTCCGTCTGATCAACTGAGTCGAGCATTTCTACAACGATGCGGGCGACATGGGCGGCCACTGCGAGCTGCATGACAAATGTTGCTGCATCGATGGTGTAGAAGACATCTACACGGCTGGACCGCCGTGTCAGCCGTACTCGCGACTGTCGTCTGTGAAGCGAAAGGCCAACTTCATGCCCTTCGACACCGAGGATGGACAAGCTTTCATATCCTGCTCCAGGCACATCCGAGCCTTGCGGTTTGGGGATGGAGTGCGCTCACTTTGGTGCCGTTGGAAGATGACAGGCCATAGTCCATAGTGTTCTTTCTAGCTGAGGAAGCCGGCGGCCGCCCGTTGCAATCATAGAGGAGGCCGGTTTGTCTGCAGAAACACAGGTCACAAGTAGTCCTGGAAAAGGTTCTCAGGGCCGAAGTTCTCGATGGCGACAGTGGCTGTGGCTTGGAGGAAGTAAAGGTTTTGGGTTGTAGGGCGTCAAGGTGTTTAAGGGTTTATTTACCATATCAAGTATGTTTTTGAGGAGAGCGTTCTTTGATCTAGGCTGCCAAGGCAGACTCTAGACTCTAGATCGATTACGACAATGCAGCTTTGAGCATTCGAACGGGATGAGTGCCTTCGGGCAAGCAAGCACGAAATCAGTCTTTAGACAAGCGTGCTTGCACCCAAGCGGTCGCATTTTTCGGTTCCCTCAAGCATTCAATCACTTCCCCTACTTGATTCCAAGAAGCTGCTTCAAGTCCTCTTGAGAGAAGATCTCGCCAGAATCCGAAACGAACACATCCAGGCCGAGTGCTTGCATGCGGCGTAGCTGCTGCTTGGCTCGCTCCTTGAACTCCTTTGATATGCCTTCCTCTTTGCTGGGCCGGCCGACCTGAGACGATCCACTCGAGCGATCCCCACGAGGGCTCCTCGAGGATGTTCGACCGCCTGCGGACGATTCGGCTTTTGGCCCACTGTCGGAGCTCGAGCGAACCCCACTCGGACCATTGTCGGAGGACGATCTACCGCCTGCAGATCCGCCGGCACTCGGGCCGAGCAGAAAGCCTCTTCTCATGGCGGCAGGTCAATCTATTCAGGGATCCCTTGAGTGATTGAAATCGCTACAGCAAGCAACCATGCTGAAGGGTCAAACGACCAAGGTACCCAAGTGACAGAACCATGCAATCCAAGCAAACAACCAAGGAAAAACAAGCAAGGTGCCCAACCGGCCAACCAGCCAAGTCAAGCGAGCAACCATGCTAAAACAAGCAAATCGACCAACCGACCAAGCCAAGCAAGCAACCATGGTGACACAAGGGTGAAACAAGCAAGGTGCACAAACGGCCAGCCAACCAACCAAGTCAAGCGAGCAACCATGCTACAACAAGCAAATCGACCAACCGACCAAGCCAAGCAAGCAACCATGGTGACACAAGGGTGAAACAAGCAAGGTGCACAAACGGCCAACCAACCAAGTCAAGCGAGCAACCATGCTAAAGCAATCAAATCGACCGACCGACCGACCAAGCCAAGCAACCATGGTGACACAAGACGTGAAACAAGCAAGGTGCACAAACGGCCAACCAACCAAGTCAAGCGAGCAACCATGCTAAAACAATCAAATCGACAAACCGACCGACCAAGCCAAGCAAGCAACCATGGTGAAACGATGGTGAAACCAGCAAGGTGCCCAGCCGGCCAACCTGGCCTGCCCCCACGGTACGTTAATTAAAGTGCCACAAAAGCGCCGGTACGTATAATTAAAGCGCCAGGGCTGCCCAGGAGTGACACTAGCAGCGAGCAACTGCCCTGCTGCTGTGCATGCTTGTCCTGCAGGAGAAGAATCACAAGGACTGACTCATTGAATGTGAGCCCTGAAATTGGTGCCGCAGTGAGCTCTGCTAGGGGCGGTGGGTCGGTGGGTTCTGAGCCTCCAAAATAGCTTTTCAGCCTTCTATCTAAGCTTTTCAACGAGGCCAAGCCTGAGGCCAAAGGCCTGGAGATCCGAGCTCGCTTCCTCTCGCGGGGCTTCTGATAGTTTAGCTTTTTAATGCTGGCAGCTCCAAGGAATGCAGCAGTGCCAGGCCCCAAGCCTAGGAAACAGGGTCTGAAGACATGGATAAAAATGGTGTTGCAGGACTGAGCCCAAATTCATTCATTAACATATTACTAACAGCATTCTAGTATTGAATACCATACCCCGGCTTCGCAGGAAGTGAAACATCTGTGTGTTTATACATACACACATGCATACATACATACATACATACATACATGTTTGTGTGTACATGTGCGTACATACATGGATATATATATATATACATATACATACACGTACAGCCCTCCAACACCCTCTGCACAAATAAATTGTACGCGGCCACTGTAAAAGATAACACCCCAACGCAACCCATATAAATCATCGTCATCATCATATAATCATCATCACCGTCATGACCATCATCATCATCATCATGGTCATCGTCGTCATCGTATGCTATGAGGCTTTGCGGGTTTTAAGGTTCGTAGGCCTAGGTCCGAGCTCAGGCCAACAATTCAGGTTCTGGGCTCTCAGCCAGTCTCGGGCCTTGGCTTTGGAGCTGCACGGCCTAGCTGCAGACTACTGGGGCCGGCTTGCAAGAAGGATGTTTGTTTGAGAAACCTAGGTTTAAGGTTTCCGGGTTGTCTATGGGTTTGAGCCTTAGTATGTGTGTGTGTGTGTGTGTGTGTGTGTGTGTGTGTGTGTGTGTATATGTGTATATTATATACATATATATATATATATATATACGAACCGCGGTTCGGGAGTTGGGCAGAAGATTAAAAACCAAACATGCAAGCCCTGAGCTCCCACTTCAAGGGCACCCCGTCTCGAAATTACTCGACAGACCAAAGTGGAGTTGCTTTTGAAAAAAGGAAGATGTTGCTGCTGCTGTTGTCAAATGCTTCGGTCGAAGTTGAAGGTGCATCAAGGGACACATTCCCAATCTTTCGCCTAGCAGGGCTGTGGGCTCGCAGGCAGACATTCCGGATTCCAACTTTTGCACGGTTCAAGCAGTCCTAAACACGTCAGCAGCACTTGCCGAGCATGCCAGCACGGAGATGCACGCGCGTGATCTTTCACGACGTCAGTCATGTGTGCATTTATCTGCACAATTCAGGAACACAGGTTGGCCTTCGGGATCTCCCCTTGCATCGCCTGCCCTTGGCATGGTGACATCATACTTGTCCCCTCGCTTCTTGGCCGGCAGTGTCTTAACGCCACGGAGGTTGCCTATTTGGCATGAACCCTAAACTGAAACCCGTCACTTTCAGCAGTTACATAGGTTCCGAATCCTCCCATTTGGCCTCTATTGCCGAGGCTGTGCCCTTGGACTGACCGGAGACGTCCACGGGCAGGTCAGTAGCATGCTGGGGGCTTTGCGCTCAGAGTGCCAGCAACAGAGTTCAGTGGGTGTTCTCATCCGTACCTTGGAGTTTGGGCTTGGCCTGGATACAGTTTCGGGTTAGCCTGAACCGTAACCCAGAGAGATCCCGTTCAGAGGCCCTAACTTAGTCAAAGCCCTTCAGGAAGGGCGAAAGGTTCAGGGTTTTGCTTTGGGTTGAGAGCCGTAATCTGTGATTTTACTCCGACGTGGCGGGGTAGTTAATAAAAGAAGGAGGGATGATTCTCTTGCAGAGCTGATGCCCTGGCTGAGTGCAATATCGAGTTGACCAGTGAATGTGCTCACAAGACCAGGACCCGGAAACCGCAGCCCTGCACTAGGCAACACTTGCTTTCAATTTTCATAAGCAACTGCAGATGCCATGGCAAAGTCGGTCCCTCCTCGTCCTGCTTGGTCAGCTCCTCCGCCGCCTCCTCCACCAGCACCATGTCCACCAGGAGGAGAAGCAGGGACGAGACCAGTGACACCGCCAAAAGCTCCTGCTCCTGTGCTTCCAAAGCAGCGAGATCCGTCATACGCAAGACGCCAGAACTTTATGAGAGATCACCTGTCCAGCTTTGACCAGAGCCTTAACGACATCCGAGCCAGTCAAGGTCAGCATACCCGTTCCTTGGATGACATCCGTCGTGCTCAAGATGCCCAAGGCAGGGTGTTGGAACAGGCCGTGCAACAGCTCCAAGCTGAGGCTTTGCGTGTTGCGAATGACAACATGAAGACGCAGCTGGAAGCTCAGGAACTTCGCCTCAAAATGGCACACGAGAAGGAGACGAGAACTATGCAGGAGAGGCGCAGAAATGAGGCGGAACGATGGCAGCAGGCGAACAAAGATTTCGCAGTATCTGGGCATTAGCTTGGAAGTTTGGTTTCAAGGTGTTTCGGAATCTCAAGTGTTGTGAGTCTTACTTATCGCCACGGCGACCGGTTATTCATGGAACCCAGATTTGCCTAGGACGCAGACAAGACTCAACTGGCTCAGATCCGGAAGCTCGAGGCGGAAAACGCGAAGCTGAACACGGAAAGCAAGGAGCAAGACCGGATTAACCGCACCTTGCGAATGCGCCTCGAGGACAGGGCTTTTTACCCCCTTCCTGACGGGCTTTAACTTGAACTGTTCCAAGCTGTAAGCTGGTCCGAAACGTAGCCCAGACTCCGATGCACCGAGAACAGTACCCTTACTTAGTTACACATTGTTGTCCCTCCCAAAGGTCAATGGTCCGGATATAGGGTGGGGCCCCCCCTCCCCCGTGGTGTGGAGTGTGGGGTTCCTCTTTTCCTGTGGGGTGGTTGTGGGGTTTTGGGGTTTAGGGTTTTGCTTAATTAAGCTTTTGAGTTTTGGGTTTACAGTTAACAAGGGCTTAGGGAAGATTTGCGTTGTATGCTCTGCTGCGCTTTAGGCTTAGAGCCTGCAGTTAGGTGGGGTTTAGGGTTGGGTGTAGCGTTTTAAGTACAAGTTAAGGTTGCTCAAAACAGGGGCACGTGCTCTGCGTTATAGGGTTTACGGCTTGCTTGCGAAGGGCTTGCGCGTGAGCCACCCCTATCAGACCATACCATTGGGGGGGGGGGGGGCTGGGAACGCCAGACGCCTGACCATATACCCCTGCAGGGTGAAGAGGCGAAGGTGAAAGAGCGCGATTTGCAAATCAGCGAGATGAAGGCGGAAGACTAACTGGATTGCTTTGGATTGGATTTCTATTGCACAGTCCAAGTTGTGTATCGCCCCTAAACCTAAGAATCCCCGAGCTTGCAGTGAAAACTACGAGCTCTTGAAAATCCAGCTGCAAAGACCATGGACCAGGCACCGCCAGGCCGGTTGGGAGGGGAAAACCAACTGTTGCGCATTAGTGCAGTGGTGAAAGTGCAATTGAGAATTAACATTGAGACTTGCCCCGTCAGGAGTGGAAAGCAAGCGGCAGAAAAAGACACGCTGACTGGAGCTTTGCTTCAATTGACATTGCCCATCAGCAACCTGCCCAAGAAGTACAACACCTTCGTCGGTAGCGGTGGCGGCCAGCTGTCCGGAGGTGAGAAGCAACGATTAAATCACGATCCAAGCTGCAAAGCAGCATACCAGGCACTTTGCCTTCAGCTGCTCGCAGAATAAGCTGACTTCACTTCCGGCAGAAGAGCAAAAAAATGCCTGTTTCTAAAGCCTAAAGTCTAAACCCTGAACTGCTTCCAGCCCGAAACAAAAAAATTACAAGCTTCTCGTTAAGGGGTCTTCACCCAAAGCATCAAGTGCCGCTGCACTGCTACACCTTGAAAGCTCAATACACTTCTTTGGACGCTTTAAAGCCTAAACCATACAGCCTAGCCGACTGCGAGACCCAAGCCCAGAACTCTGAGCCCCAAACCGTAAACCTTAGTACGCAGCCTTGTGGTACCAGTGTAGCCCGAGTATGCTATTCCGATTCTCGCAACATGTGTCTTGAATCTCTTGCTGTCTCGCAGGACCTTTGGATGATTGGTGATTGGACTCTGAGGACTGCGTTCCGATTCTCGCAACATGTGTCTTGAATCTCTTGCTGTCTCGCAGGACCTTTGGATGATTGGTGGCTGGACTATAGCTACCTGAGGACTGCATTCCGGTTCATGTTCGTCTTGAAAAGTTTGCTGCCTCGCAGGACCTGTGGATGATTGGTGGCTGGTCGGATCCAATTGGAAGGACCGATGCTTGCTTTTCCGTGCTGTGCTCGATCGGAGAATGGTGCATGGCATGAAACTTCATGGTGTCCTTTGCAGTGATGATCAAGCCATGCATGTCGCATGCGAAGCACGAGCAGGTTCTCATATGGCAGCTTCAGGGCTTAGGCTACATTATGGCAGCTTCAGGGCTTAGGCTACATTATGGCAGCTTCAGGGCTTAGGCTACATTATGGCAGCTTCAGGCCTTAGGCTACATTGTGGCAGCTTCAGGGTTTAGGCTACGCCATGCTGCCCATCGAAAGCCGATCGCAAAGAAGGGTGCGGAGGGACCTCGAGGTTGCTTCCATTGGAAGCGGCCCGGGGCCCTTCGTGAGGGCTCTGCCCTCGCACGTGTCCTGGCTCCAATATATATATATATATATATATATATATATTTGCATCTTTGGTGGGGTTTAAAGGTTCTAGGGCTGTATAGGATTTTGGGTTGAATCCTAAACCCGAAACCCTAAACTCTCAGGTCATCCCGCCTGACATCGGGGCATTGGTGCCGCAGACCCCCGTCCTGGCCGCCCATCGGGGCAGTGGTGCCGCAGACCCCGCCCTGGCGGCCTTCAGCGTCCCCGTTGCATATGGGGCCGACAACTCCACCCCCTGGAGTGAGGCTGACGGGCAGATGGGTGTCGCTCGGCTGACGGTTTAGGATTTAGGGTCGACGGTTTAGGATTTAGGATTTAGGGTTTATATAGGGCACACACACACACACTAACCCCTTGAGGTTCGAGACAAGTTCCGGCCGTTACGACGGGCGGGGCCGTTTCATCGAAACGGAACCGCCATGGGTTCGCGGGGCGCAGACGCCGCTCCTGTGGGGTCCGCTGCGGATGCCGCCCTCGCGGCTCTACTTTATTTTAGGTTTAGGGTTTAGGGGTTTGGGCTTTAAGGGGTTTAGGGCTTAGGGAAAAACAACAAAAAACACAACTGAGGACGCCAAGCATCCTCATGCTTTCGCCTACGTCGCCGGCATTGATGGCTACTGGGCCGGCGATGGCAACCATCCACGAGCTGCCGCTCCTTGTCGCCAATAATCCGGGCCCATGCAACGCAAAGCCATTGTCTAAACCCAGGCCGGCCACGGCCCACGGCATTGGCGAGCTCGGGGGGCCTCGTCCACAGATCCTTGTCTCAAGCCTTAAACTCCAAACCCTGAAAACCTCAAACTAAACCCAAGCTAAACCCAACGCAACCCAGGCTGCAGCTGCCGATGGCCCCGACCTCGACATAGCCTTCGACGGCCCCAGCAATGGGAGCCGAGCGCCTTGTCCCAACCCAGATAACACCACAAACCTTAAACCCGATCAACCCAGGCTGGCAATGAGGACATCGATGTCCCCGGAGAGCCGGGGTGCAGCAATGCCCCTTGGCATTGCACCCAGCCCCCGCAAACCTTAAATCTTAAACCCAATGCTTTAACCGAGGCGAGTCTTCCTGGCCGCACCCATCGGATCACCGGGCGGGGACATGGGCGGATCTGGCGATGTGGTGATGGCCTCCCCTTTTGAAGCACAGATCCTTGCCTATTTTAACCCAAAACCCCAAACCCTAAACCGCAAACCCTAAACTCTAAACCTTAAACCCAAAACCCTAAACTCTAATCTGTAAACCTTAAACCCTCCAAACCCCTACCCAGGCAGCCACCACCGAAGCGATCTCGTCAGCTGATGTGCTGCGTAAGCGATTCCGAGCCGGGCCTAGGTAGGGCGAGGATTTTGAAAAAAATAGTAAATAAGATCCTGTGAAGCCCAACAAGGGAAAATATAAAATGCCCCAAAGCTGTCGGCTTCAGACCCCGGTTTCCTTTACGCCTTGCTTCCACGCAGGACCGATTCCAGTACGTGGCTGATAGCCACACCCTTAAGCCGGGGGCCTGTGGAATCCAGCCGTGATTTCACACAACTTCTACCGGTTACGGACGAGGAGCTCGACAAGATGTACGGCAGCAGGGCTGCCGAGGTGAAGGCCCACAAACTTCAGATTGGAGAAGTGAGATCGGACCCCAACCTGCCGGGTGGCTATATTTACCTCGTGGCCAAGCACATCATAGAGAATGGAGAGGAGGAACGAAAGCGACACTTGCCTTCATCGGTTGGTTGGTTGTTGGTGTGTTTCACGTACTTCAATGCACACATCTACAATCTCCCGAACCCGTAGTCATCATGCCGTGCCAGCTACTAATAAGGCAAGGTGGCAACGATAGCACCACGTGTCGCAACATCGGCCCCCGCACGGGGAGCCGCAGACTCCGCGACCTCGGGTGCTGGTGCCCCTGCAGCTGCTCCACGTGCAGACCCTCCTGCCACTGGCACGCCGGCTCCCTCGACCAGCAACGATGAGCCAAAACCTCCTCCGCCAAAGAAGCCAAAGCTTACACAGGCAGAAAAGGCTGCCAACATGACGCCTTTGGAGAAGGGCAATGATCTTGCCAACCGTGGTCTCGCCAAGAAAACCACCACTGAAAAGTATATCACCATGCTCAAGTGCCTGACCTTTGGAGCTGGATTGGTGGAACACCTGGGAAAGTATGTGAATCTGTGGCAGCGACTCGCTTGCATTAACTGAAAGTGCTTCTGTGGTTGTGTCATAGTCCTGCAGATGTTGATCATATTTAAGGCAGCTCTACGAGCAAGTGGTTCAATTGACACAGAAGAAGATTGACGAGGACCGACCGGCAATAGATTTCAACAAAAACCTTGCTAGTTTCACCCCTAAAACCCTACACCGTGAGCCTACCCGAAAATCCTGAAACCCCGCGATACCCGGAAAACCTACAGCCCTGAAGACTAATGTTTTTTCTGCAGGAAAGCCCCTACATCCCGTACGTCACCAAGTACGTGCAGCTGCTGAAAGATTTCGAGGATGTGGAAAGTGCTGCTTCGGCCATGGCCAAAAGTGCAGTTCCCAAGGCAAGTGCAAAAGCCAACTCGTGATTTTCCTGGGCTTTCAAGGCTACATGCCAATTGGGCTGGTAGTTCTTGAAGAATGGGGAGCTGAAGGGTTCCACCGATCGATAACGATAGTGTATTCACTCCTGAGATGTAGGTGTGACATTCGATCCCGGAGCCAATGACAGCTACATCCTTATTTCCATGGCACCGATGTGTGCCTGTGTATCCTGCATGGATACTTGGACCAAAAGGGGCAAACCGATCGCCGGCAAACCGATCCAGTCGGTTCTGAGACCGGAAGCGAAACAATTCTTCGCCTTGGTCCATGCACGATTGTGCCTCGTCGTGTGTGTGTGTGTGCGCACTTCTGTGACTCATGCGCAGGCGACCCGCCGATCCAGATGAACCAGTGGATGATAGGCCACTTCGGCTGCAACCCCATACTGTCGCCTTGCTTCATTATCGTGTCAGGCCTGCTATTCCTGACAAAAGGCTTCCAAGTTTCAACACGTGTCTCGCCCGAGCTCTCCGATCTTTTTCTCTCTCTCTCTCTCTCTCTCTCTCTCTCTCTCTCTCTCTCTCTCTCTCTCTCTCTCTCTCTCTCTCTCTCTCTCTCTCTCTCTCTCTCTCTCTCTCTCTCTCTCTCCACAAATGCTCCTGGAAACATTTCCATAAATATTTCTCTCTCTCTCTCTCTCTCTGTCTCTCTGTCTCTCTCTGTCTCTCTCTGTCTCTCTCTGTCTCTCGTACACACATTCTCAAGACGTGCCCACAACCTACGATGGCCAAGGAATGCTGCTGATATGGACAGTCATGGTGCCAGACTTCTGGCCGAAGAGGTGGGTGGAGGTGCCTCTCGTCTGCTCACGCAGGCTGCACGTGCGTGAAATCAACTTGTCGTGTGAGAGCAATTCAGTTTGCCGCCGTGCAATTGAGGTTATGTCTGTAGCTCGTGCCGCTGCGATCACCGCTGCATTTGTCAAAGACGGTGTTCGCAAAACCTCTGCCAGAAAGTTGGCGAAATCATCGAGAGACAGAGACCTATTCAAATGGGTCAAGCTTCCTTGGGAGCCCTACGAAGTCAATATCCCTTTGATAAAACGTCGCTCTGCAGACAAAGAAGTTATGGACGAGAAAGTGGGTATTGTGCTGCCCACTGATCTTATCTGCCACATGTACGACACCGATGCCTTCGCTCTATGCATATTTGGGGATTCGGGCAAGCCGAGCCTGCTCTCATACTGGCAATCCGAAGACCAGGATTGGCTGAACCGCACCGGCATCTCCTCTGCTGACTTGCAGCATTGCATACCGCTTTTTTTCCACGAGGATAGTGTGCCGAGCTTCAAAGAAGAGAGTTATACATTCTGGTCGTGGGCAGCGCTTTCCTCTCGTGGGGCATGGACGAGTCGTAATTGTATTGTTGGCCTGCCCTCTTCACGTGTGCTGCTGCAGACAAGGTCTGCTGTCGTCTCTGTATTGAAATGGAATTTGGATGCATTGGCACGTGGCACACACCCGGAGGTCAACCACCTGGGTAGACCGTGGCCTCCCGGCACCCGTGCAGCGAGAATTGCCGGTACTCAAATTGCAGGCCCATACTTTGGTCGATTTTCCTGCTGGCAGGGTGATATGGAAACAAGGGCATTGGCACATTGTTTGGATGGCAGACATTACCGACACTGACACGCAGCAGTTAATTCCAAATCCTAAACAGCCTTAAAACCCCTTCCCTTCGGCCAGCTGTGCAACATATCCGGCCTATCTAAGGATGCAAACTTATATGCGATCTCTGCTTGGCTCAACGGAGCCCTGGACTCTCATACGGCGACTTAAACGACAAAGCCGCCTGGCGACGATTCGGCGACGGTGGCATTGCTGACGAGGCAGACCAGTCGCATTGGAAAAACGTTGAGGGATACGATCGGACCAGATTATTCCTCGACAGCATGCACATCCTCAACTTGGGGACCATGCGAGACATCATTGCCAGCATACTGGTCGATTGGTTGCAGTCCAAAGAATTGCACAGGCATGCTGGGATTCATGTATCACGAGTTTCACCAATTGCTTCTTGTTGGTTGGGTTGGTTGTTTATGTCATGCTTGATTGGACGTTGATGATGTCTATCATGGATAAGTTGAAGCAGGTTCTACGGCTTTCCTCCAACAGCGGAAGCTGACGAAGTTCTCCATCGCTTTACATTCAATGCTATTGAATCAGCCCGGCTGCACAAGCAGGACTTGAGCATCAAGCCATTGACACGCTCGAGCTTGGGAACGCCGTCGAAAACAGATGTTGTTGTCGGCTACCCCGAACTAACCTCTCGCATCAAAGCAGCGAGGGTGAAAGTGCTTTTGCAATATATTGCTTTTGTTGCCTGCCAGATGGAAACCTGTCTGCACTTCAGACACTACTGAACGATATGTATCATTCCACATCCATAAAGACCCCACATGAACCCTCGGAGGAGTCTCAGCTGGACGACTGCTCGGATGAAGACTTCTTCTGGAAGCAGATGCGAGCCACCATGACATGGTCGCTTGCTACATCCATGCAGTTGTGGTTGCAGGGTGCTCGCACCTTGGCAGTCTTATTTGTCGCTTGATGGGCTTCTGCTTCATGTGAGCTTGATGGGTTGATCGCGCTTCGTCGATGCTTGCTTGGTCGATGTTGCTTGGTCGGAACTTGCTTGGTCGATGTTTGATACTTGGTCGTAACATGCTTGGTGAATGCTTCAAGCATGTTGTCGTGTGCTTGCTTGGTCGACGAATCTTGCTTGGTCGGAACTTGCTTGGTCGATGGATGATATTTGGTCGGAAGCTTGAATCATGTTGTGGTGTGCTTGCTTGGTCGACGAATGTTGCTTGGTCGGAGCTTGGCTTGGTCGATGGTTGCTATTTGCAGCTTCTTTTATACTTGCTTGGCCAATGTCGTCAGTCGATATTGCTTTGGCAGAATTTGCTTGGTGGAGGGTTAATATTCGTCGGTTGTGTTTTGCTTGACTATATCCAAGGTCCTTTTCTGACCTCTGCTCAAAAACATGAAAGCTACCGTATGCTGAGACTGCATCTCGGCAGCTATCAAAAGCTTGCAGCTCGAGCTCTTCGGGAAGGACGCACATTGTACAAAATCAGGCCGAAAACCCATTATTCCCGCCACTTGGCGGATTGGGTGAAGATCACCGGCTGGAATCCTTCGGCCAGGTCGTGCTTCCTGGATGAAGACCATATGAAATTTTTGGCGGCGGTGGCAGCGAGGCTTCATCCCAGGACGTTGCTGTTGAAGTTTGCCAAGAGATACTCCTTGAAAAGAGTTCTTTCTTGGCAGAAGGAACGCCAGGATCAACAGCCAAAGAAGCTGAAGCGATGAGAGCCCTGCCGGCCCGATCGAAAAGTGTGTCAAGCCTGTGGAATCGTTCTTGAGGACTAGTGTTGGTTGTAGTGGTCCCCACATGCCATTGGAGACTGCCAGTGTGACCAGTATTGGTCGTGGCGTTCCCGTGTACCAATTTAATTGGATATTCTGCCAATAGGCAAACAAAGTTTCTATGTTTGACCCAAACACCTAAAGCCCAAACCAAACCAATACTAACGTACCGGGGGGGGGGGCTGGTATGTTAGTTGTTATTGAACGCTTTAATATACGTACCGGGGGGGTGCTGGTATGTTAAATATACGTGCCAGGGCTGTCCAGGCTCCACTTGAAGTTCATGCACAGACCTTCTGCAGGACGTGATCGACCAGCTTCGCCAGAGTGTTGGCGCTGGTCGAGACCTGACGATTATGATGTCGAGGGAATTCAGCTTGCAATACTTCACTTGCTGCAAAGGTGCCGTCTGCCAAGCGAGATTTGCTTGGCCTTGGCCCCGCGACCTCGCACGATCTCGGCCGCCTCCTGCATGTCAATGTGTGCAAAGTGCTTGCGTGATGAACCATGGTTGAAGCCCCAGCCTGGAGGGAGCCACTCCTGGGTCTCCTGGCTGAAGTACCAGCTGCCCGCCCTCCAGCCTCTGCCGTCTTTGTCCGGCCAGCAGCAGACCAACACTTTAAACATCCGGCTCGGGCCTCAGCCATGGCGGTCCCTCTGGACCATCGATGCCGGAGGCGGCGGTGGCTGCTCTTCTCCGGCGGCCTGCCAGCAATCATTGTGGCAAGCAGCAGCAGCAGCACCACCACCACCACCACCCCCACACAATCCAAAAAAAGCGCCTTCATCTTCGGAGGCTGCCTTGGCTCGGCCGGCTTGCGCGACGATGATGCCTGTCACACTGTGTGCACATGCATGATATGCGCATCGACTCTACTCTGTGAAGTGGCAGTCCTCCGCGGCTTTCGGAGGCTGATGCTCTTGCTTCTAGAGACACCTACATGTATACAAACACACGAATGAAGCCTCCTGCTTTAGCGGCTCCTCCGGCAGAGGTTGCTTTGGCCGGGGGGTCATCCTCTGCTCCTGCATACATGCATAACAAGAAGCTTGACTGCAGGAGTATATCATTTCCAAATGCTGCCTTCGTCACCAGCTTGTCTGACGACCCTCTGCTTGGCACCTGTCCGTGGACAGGAGTGCCGACACTTGACAGCCGCCACCCCTTTTTCCCTGCCACCGACCAATCTGCCTTGGGTGGCGGGAGATCCGGCTCCCGAGGCTTCAAGACCTGCACATGCATGACATCAAACGAGCCAGCAATGGATGCATTCATGTGGCCTCTGCCAATCTTTTCTTCGGCTTCGGCTTCAAAAAGCCCTCCTGTCGAGCTTGCAAACAAGATAGCCCCAGCATACAAGACAGGCCGACCACATTTGCCTGCTTTACGGGCACATTCTTGCACTTCACCTCCTCCTTCTCGTCCTCCTGCTCGGCAAACAATGCTGTGAAAGAAATTTGTCTAAAATCGCAGTCCTTGGTGTCCTGCGCTGAATAATCTGCCGGCTCCTCACACAAAAAGCATACACACACACACAGACACATGAACATGAACTCTGTCAAGGGCAGTCTTGGGGTTCGACCGCCAGAGAAGTGCTCTGCGCAACCAATGCTGTGAAAGAAGTTTGTCTAAAATCGCAGTCCTTGGCGTCCTCTGCTGAATGTGCTCTGCCGGCTCCTCACAAAAGGCGCACACGCACACACACAGACACATGAACATGAACTCTGTCAAGGGCAGTCCTGGGATTGCTCTGCCGCCTCCTCACACAAAACACACACACACACACAGAGACACATGAAGATGAACTCTTCAGGGGCAGTCCTGGGCTTCTCTCTTGCATTCCTGGTCCTTGATATGGCAAACCCGACCTGCCGAAGGTTTTCGGATGCAATACCTTTGCAGCCGTTAGAAATGGTTGTAGATGGCGTTTGGAGCCCTTGGATCCCTGACCCCAATATAAAGCTCATGTATATGCATACTACCCATATACATATGTGTATACATATACATATGTATATATATATGTGTGTGTGTGTGTGTGTCGATGTGTGTGTATATTATGCGTACATACATATATACATTAGAGAGCTCTTCCGGAGTCCAGCCGTCGGTCGGAGCAAAACTCCTGCGCCGAATCATCTCCATGAGCACCTTTCATGCTGTGCGGCGGCGCATGACATGACAGTGCAGAAGGCAGGGCAGCTCGGGTCAGGGTGGCGCCCCCTCGGGTGGACCTAATTAAGGCAAGGCCGCGGTTTTCGGGAGCGTACAGGGACCTAGAAGTTCGTCGCGCACTCACTTGCAAGCAGAGCACTCCTATGTCAGGGCGGAAGGGGTTAGGGACCTTGAACTATCGCTCCTTTAGTAACCGCAACTTGCTCTCTACGTCTAAGCCAACGGCCCATACCCGCGGGCTCATGCAAGATGGAGTGTCTCCAGCATTGCAAGGCCCGCGTTTTCCGAGCTTGCTCTGCAGCACGGAGCTCCCCAGAGACCTCGGAGATTAAGTCTCTTACTGCGGCGCAAACCTCGGCGGACCAAGGGTTCTGCGGCAGGCCCAACCTGGCGCAGAGAGTCTTAGCCTCAACTTCGCCCTGAGCGCGGCGAGACTGGGGCCGAGCCTGCCACCTTTGAAGTTCGTAAGCCCTCGCCAACCGGCGCCTTATCTTGGTGATGCGCATGCTGCCAGGCTGTCGGTCATTACCCGATCTAGCCCAGAAACGAGTTTTCCAGCAAGGAGTTCTACCTTTGGGGCGGTTGACATGGAGGCCAGTACGAGAGCCCACAGCAAAGCCCGCAGACTTACACGTGCGAAAAGCCTGGCAAAACATGTCGTGAAGGAGTCCCATAAACATATCCCAAGCTTCCTGCACAGCCAGGGAGCCCAGGGCAACCTGGCAATCGAAAGCCTTAACCGCATCTGAAGCAGTCCATGCCGCATCAAGCCACTGTCTCCAGTCTTCAGAAGAGACGTCCTGTGGCTTAACCCAAGACACCGAGGGAGACAAGAAACCTTGCTGACAGTCCACGACTCCAAGTGGCACACTGAGCTCAAGGGCTTTGTGGTCACTAAAGACAAACGGCGCAGCCGCCGGCAGTGCAAAATCAAGAGGCCTACTGCTAGCAAACCAATCAATCTCCCTGTCGCTACTCCATCGCGTACCTAGCCCAGTACTCAAGGGGGTGCCGCCATATGCCTGCAGCGTGCAGGCGATGGTGGAGTCTCCGGGTATCTCGTTGGCGTCGCCACAGGCAA